CACAAAAGTCATTATATTAGACCTTAGTGCAATTACAAGTGAGAGTCTTGTTCTATTTTAAATTTGTATTTTTATATTACTAGTTTATACCTAGTTGTACTTTAGTTCATTCCAGCACAACACATAGACAACATCAACTTCATTATGTGTAGTAGTGACTATACTCTATATGACCAAAATACTCTAGCTATATACTTATCCAAACTTCCCACCACTACAGATATCAGTACTAGAACTCAACACACAACTCAGGATATAAATAACCATAATTTAAACCTAGAAGATGATTGATTACATTGACCCTGATCTAAACCTCCATAATCTGACACCCAATCAAAACCTATTGGAAAGTAACTGCCTTTATTACACAGCAACACAAGCCAGCACTATCCTAAACAATGCTAAAAGTCTATCAGTACTTAACTACAACATTAGGTCCTTAAGCAAACACTATGATGACCTCCTGGCACTCCTTGAATCACTAAAGACACCCTTCTCCTGCATTATTCTTACTGAGACCTGGCTTAAGCAGGACACAATAGATATCTACCCTCTACCAGGATACACAGCAATTCACAACTGCAGACCAAACCAAGTTGGGGTGGTATTGCAATCTATTACTCTAACCAATTATCTTGCATTAGCACCACTTGCTTTAGTGATGAATATGGGGAATACATTTTTGCTAATTTTACTGTAAAAAACCTTAAGACACCCATAACAATCGGTGCCATTTACCGGATACCTCACACAAACATCCCAAATTTCAGTGAGAAATTAAAGTCACTAATAACAAACAGACAAAAGAATAAGCACCACCTTCTCTTAGCTGGAGACTTCAACATCAACCTTGGCTTACTAGATGATCAGCCTGTAACTGATTTCATCACCAATATGAACAACACACTTCTCATACCAACAATAACTAAACCAACCAGGCTCACTGAGACAAGTGCAACCATAATAGACCATATATGGACCAATATACTAGCCCCCCTTAAATCAGGGATAATCACAGATAGCACTACAGACCACTACCCTACCTTCCTCCTGACAAACATTAGTAAACCACCACTTGAATTCAACAAAGTCTCATTTAGACTCCATGACGAGGCCTCAATAAGGAAGTTCACAGCTGACCTAGAGATTGTTGACTGGCCTACAGAATTCTCCAAGGCCAATGGTATTGATGACTGGACAGACATTTTTCTTAACAAATTACTTAGACTATACAACAAAACATTGTCCTATAAAAACGAAACAGATCACAAACAAACGGCTTGGTTGCCCATGGCTAACCAGTACCATTCTGAAATCCATTGACAAGAAACACCAATATGAAAAGCAATATAGACAGGGCTTAATACACGAAGATATTCTTAAACACTATTCATCAGTTCTCACCAAAGTAATAAAGAAAGCCAAACAACTATACTACTCCAGTAGATTCACAGACACTAGAGGAGATATAAAAAAGACCTGGTAAACACTCTCTCAGATTCTAGGGACCCACAAACTGAAAAAAAACAAGAATATTGTCCTGACTAAACCTAATGAAACACCACTACATCCCACTGACACAGCTAACAAGATAAACGACTTCTTCTCAACCATAGGATCTAATCTCGCCAATAAAATCCCACATACCAATGCACATGCCGGGGACTACCTAGATGGGAATTTCCCAAATTCCTTCTGTCTTGCACCAACTGAGCCCTCGGAAGTCACCAAGATTATAGTCACTTAAAAACAACTCAGGGAATCTGTCTAATGTCCCACCATTACTGTACAAGCGAGCAGCCCATATCCTTTCGCATGCTATTTCATTACTTTTTAACAAGTCACTAGAAACTAGCACCTTCCCGAAACTACTCAAGACGGCAAGGTTACACCAATACATAAAGGTGGTGACCCTACAGACTTAAACAACTATAGGCCAATATCAAACTTAGCATTGCTATCCAAAATCTTTGAGAAACTCGTGCACAGGAGACTACTATATTCATTTATAACAACACAAAACATACTCAACCCCTGCCAATTTGGATTCAGGAAAAATAAAAGCACTAATGATGCAATCATAAAAATGCTAGATCTGCTTTACACAGCATTGGAAAATAAGGAATATCCACTAGGAATTTTTATTGACCTAAGAAAAGCTTTTGACATAGTAGACCACGACATCCTACTCCACAAACTTGACCATTACGGTATAAGAGGCCATGCGCTTGCTTATTTCAAATCGTACCTTACTAATAGGTATCAGTATGTCACCATTAAAGACACAGCATCAACAACACGGCCACTTGATACTGGAGTTCCGCAGGGAAGTGTCCTTGGTCCCCTGCTCTTTCTCATATACATCAATGATCTTCCAAACGTATCCCAACACCTGAAACCCATTCTCTTTGCTGACGACACGACTTATGTCATCTCTCACCCTAATCTTGCCACCCTCAACACCATTGTTAACGAGGAACTGATCAAAATATCGACTTGGATGACAGCCAACAAACTTACGCTTAACACTGACAAAACCTACTATATTATGTTTGGTAGCAGAGCAGGAGATGCACAAATTAACATTAAGATCGACAACACTCTAATTACCAGACATAATGAGGGCAAATTCCTAGGCCTATACCTTGACAACAACCTGAATTTCAGCACCCATATTCAACACATAACCAAAAAAGTATCCAAAACGGTTGGGATCCTCTCCAAGATACGATACTACGTGCCGCAAACTGCCCTTATCACACTATACCATTCACTTATATATCCATACCTCACCTAAGCTATTTGTGCTTGGGGATCAACTGCAGCAACACACCTAAAGCCAATAATAACCCATCAAAAAGCTGCAGTAAGAATAATCACTAAATCCCATCCCTGGCAACACCCCCCCCCCTCTTCATAGATCTAAACTTACTCCCTGTTCAGTACATCCACACTTACTACTGTGCAATCTACATCTACAGGACCTTAAACTCCAATATCAACCTTGACCTAAAACACTTTCTTGATAGTTGTGACAGAACCCACAGGCATAACACCAGACACAAACATCTCTACGACATTCCCCGTGTCCGACTAAACCTTTACAAAAATTCAATGTATGTCAAAGGCCCTAAAATCTGGAACACCCTACCTGAGAACTCTAGAACTACAGACACATTCATCACCTTCAAAACTACCATTAGAAAACATCTTATCTCCCTGATACACCCCATCAACTAACTACATGAATACCACCTGGTGGTTCACACTTACACTCACTCACCCATTTGACCATAAACAGAAATATTAATCTCAATCTTAAAATAATGAATCCTATAATACTCCAATACTGAAACTATGTACTGTGCCAAAACAAAAGCATTCACATTGCTAAACTCACAAACTAGTATTTAGTCACTTAGCCATAATACCAACTTACCTCATAATTTGTAATATTTTAAAATAAAGAATTAAACTAAGTCTGCCCGAAATGCCTAGCCATGCTAGGCGTTCTAGTGGTACACTCTGTAATCATTATTTAACTACATGTAAACCACACAACAACCAAATTCTGTAAATTCAACATTGTAATCTTTATAGAGAATAAACTTTGAATTTGAATTTGAATTTGAACATGATCCTAGGAACGGAACTCCATCGTTTAAGGCTTCCGGTATTTCACCTAGATCTAAGCTCTTTCTCCAAAGAATACTGAGGGCTCGTGCTAGTGGTACTTTGCACTTCTTTATAAATAGAGCATTCCATGAATCTGGTCCAGGTGCTGAGTGAGTGGGCATGTTTTCCATTTCTTTTTCGAAATCTATGGGATTTGTACTAATGTCAGTTAGTTGGTCTGTGCGGCCTTCTTCTGGAGTAAAAAATATTTCTGCATTTTCTACCTTGCTGTCATTTAGTGGGTTGCCGAACATCAACTCGTACTGTTCTTTTAGGATTTCACTCATTTCCGGTTCATCGTCAGTATACGAGTCTCCTCTCAGTAGTGGTCTAATTCTGGACTTTGCGTAGGAATAGAAATATTTTGGGTTTCTTGCAATACCTGTATGGCCTTTTGTTCCCTTCGTACTTCTTCTGTGAGGTATGACATCTAAAGTTTTTGTTCTAATTCAGTGATCTTTCTTTGAATAGTTGTTTATATCTTATCACACCCTTTACTTCATCATTCTACCAATCACTCCTCTTTCCTCCTGTACCCACCCTCCTATAGCCACAAACTTCTGCTTATTATACTTGTTATAACCCACTTTTTGCATCTGACTCGTTTTAATCCACACAATTCTTAAATTTACTTTCGTTTTTCTTTTTTGGCCGCCCTGCCTTGGTGGGACATGGCCGGTTTGTTGAAAGAAGAAGAATCCTTAAATTTAACAGAATTGTTCCCCTGTAAGCCATGTGTGTCTTAAGAGGTGACTAAAATGCCTAGAGCAAGGGGCTAGTAATCCCTCCACCTGTATATATTACTAAATTTAAAAAGAGAAACTTTTGTTTTTCTTTTTGGGCCACCCTGCCTTGGGGGAATATGGCCAGTTTGTTGAAAGAAGAATCCTTAAATTTATACATTTATATTCCCTCTTCCCCTTCCATAACTGATCCTTCAACATTATTGCTATCTCTTCCTTAGCTCTAACTCTCTCAGATACTCCTGACTATCCCATTTATTTTGCCCCACTGAAACTCCCCTACCCCCCCTGCTTAATATTCTTATATGTGTTAATGTTAGTTGGTCAAAGCAATATTTTGATATAGCCTGTGAATCACTCAAGTCCAGATCTGAAACAAAATTTATTTATGAACAGAATTTTGTAGTATTAAATATCTTCTAAACATTTTCACTATCATGCAGTGTTGCACAATACAATATAAAACATCCACCTAAGTTATACCTAAATTATTTTACCATTATCAGCCCATGTTAAATAAAGTAATAGAAAAAGGAAAATTAAAAAACTGTATTCAATTGATTAGACTGCTTTTAACCTTACCTGTGGCTGTTCACTTGTTGGTACATGATCAGCAATCAGGTGCATGCCTTTAGACACAAGGTTACCACCCATTCTCACTGTTAAAAATACAAACTGCATATAGATTCATTACACAGTAAGGGTACTTTTATCTATAATGTATAATACTATAATTTTCTAAACATTTTTAACGTTTTTCAATTCCGTAGCTATTTTTAGTGGCAAAAATTATGTAAATAAGCAAGAAGAAAAATGGACTAGTTTTTATCCTTGTTTCAATTAAATATACTAAATTTCATGGCAACTGCATCATTCAGCCAAAACTAATGCTCCTTTGAGGTAATGCCTTCTGAGTAGTGGTGTTGTTTAACTGCAATTATATAAATGATTTTAGTTAATATAACTCTCAGCTTGGGTAAATATTAAAACCCATGAAAATTTAGAATTTTTATTAACACAATTAAGAAATATTAACCCTCAAGTGTCCGTGTCGTTGCTCTACAGATCTAAAGCCAGAGTCTATGTCATAGTACTATACGTGATGAACTTGGCTTACTCAGATAAGCTGTGAGTGGTAAATTTGGACCTAGATATGAGAGAATGGGTGTGTGGGGTAAATGTGCGCCATATAAAAGAAATCCTGCAGCTCACAGTGCATAACGAGGAAAAAAAAAACTGCGACTGTTTTTGGTTGAGAACAGTGACTTTGCTTTGTATTTTTGCATGGTTTTTATGGGTGTAGTCATGGTTTCTTGGTCTCATTTGATAGAATGGAAGATACATTACAGAATTAGAGATGATTTTAAATGATTTTAGGACTGAAAATAGCTTTAAATTGAGCTCCAATTAGCAAAATGCTCAATTTTTGCTGATGTTCAAGAGTAAAGAAATCCCATCACGCATCCAATACACATCAACTGCCGAGTCTGATATGCATTCACGAATGCACTGATATCTGTACAATTACAGGCATTACAATATTGCATAACAATAAATCTTCTGTTTTTTTGGTGTGCAAAAATATTCATTGTGTGAATATAAAATCAAAAGGAAATTCACGTGTAAAGCCTGGAAACTTAACTAATGCAAAAAGGAAATGTTAATTTAGTGCCAGCAATGCTTGCATTGTTTATTCTGATTGATTTTTTTTAATATGGTACACACTTACTGCATGGATCCAATCTCTCATCTAGGCCCAAACTTACAGCTTACAAATTACATGAGCAAGCTGAGCTCACAGCATAGAACTACGGGGCTGACCCTGGCTTCAAAATATAATACAGTGGACCCTCGACCAGCGATGGCATCGATTAACGATAAATCTGACTAGCGATACATTTTATCGCAAAAATTTTGCCTCGATTAGCGCTAAAAAACTCGACCAACACTATTCGTTCCGTCTGAGACGCGTCCACTTCTGGCCAGTGTTTACAAGCCAGCCAGCCACCGCGGTCGCTTCCAAGCATACAATCGGAACATTTCATATTATCACAGCCTTTTTAGTGATTGCACCTGCAAAATAAGTCACCATGGGCCCCAAGAAAGCTTCTAGTGCCAACCCTACAGCAAAAAGGGTGAGAATTACTATGGATATGAAGAAAGAGATCATTGCTAAGTATGAAAGTGGAGTGCATGTCTCCGAGCTGGCCAGGCTGTACACAAAACCCCAATCAACCATCGCTACTATTGTGGCCAAGAAAACGGCAATCAAGGAAGCTGTTCTTGCCAAATCTGCAACTATGTTTTCGAAACTGAGATCGCAAGTGATAGATGATATTGAGAGACTGTTATTGGTATGGATAAACGAAAAACAGATAGCAGGAGATAGCATCTCTCAAGTGATCATATGTGAAAAGGCTAGGAAGTTGCATGACGATTTAATTAGAAAAATGCCAGCAACTAGTGGTGATGTGAGTGAATTTAAGGCCGGCAAACGTTGGTTTGAGAGATTTAAGAATCGTAGTGGCATACATAGTGTGATAAGGCATGGTGAGGCTGCCAGTTTGGACCAAAAAGCAGCTGAAAAATATGTGCAGGAATTCAAGGAGTACATAGACAGTGAAGGACTGAAACCTGAACAAGTGTTTAATGGTGACACTGACAATGTTGTGAAACACTTTAGGAATGTCATAAAGGAACGGGAGGTACAGGCCTCTATGGGCAGATATGTTGTGCGACAGAGGTCCAGTGACTCTCAAGCTGGTCCTAGTGGCATTAAAAGAAGAAGGGAAGTAACCCCAAAAAAGGACTTGCCACCTCAAGTCCTAATGGAAGGGGATTCCCCTTATAAACACTAAGACCATCAACACACTCCCCTCTTCCCATCCCATCAATCATCACCAGATCTTCAATAAAGGTAAGTGTCATGTAACTGTGCATGTCTTCTTCAGTTTGTGTGTATTAAAATTAATATTTCACGTGTAAAAATTTTTTTTTTCAATACTTTTGGGTGTCTTGCACGGATTAACTTGATTTCCATTATTTCTTATGGGGAAAATTAACTTGACTAACGATTATTCTAACGATGAGCTCTCAGGAACGGATTAATAGCGTTAGTCGAGGGTCCACTGTACCAGTGGAACCTCTACTTGCGAGTTTAATCCGTTCCATGACCTTGCTTGCAACTGGATTTGCTCGTTTGCAGTAATCAATTTTCCTCATTTAAATTAACTGAAATGCAATTAATCCGTTCCAGTGGAACTCTGTACTTCAATAATTTAGCTAATACCACTCTACGTCTTATTTATCTATCTCACTTCATCTAATATGACATAATAAACAATATAAATAACATAGAAACCTGATATATATGGGCGGTGTCAGATGTGGACGAGTTTGTCTAGAGACCAGGCAAAATACTTCATGAATAATTTGCTAATATCATCTATACTGCTTATTTATCTATCCACAGTTCATCTAGCATGACATAACAAACAATATGAATAACACAGAAACATGATATATACTCTAGAATGAATAAAATATGTCATTCATGTAGTGGTATGGGCGGTGTCGGCGGTGGACGAGAGTTTGTCTGGACACGGTAAAATTCTTCATGAATAATTTTGCTAATATCATCTATACGGCTTATTCATACATCGCAATTCATCTAATATGACATAACAGACAATATAAATAACATAGAAACACAATATATACTCTAGAATGAATAAAATGTGTCATTATGTAACAGGTGGAGGCGGCCACAACCGCTTCCTCTTTGTTGTGGTAAACAATGCCATCTAGTGACGGACTTTTGAAGCCGTCTATTATTATAATTATTATATGTAGTACATTATTATTATATATGTATTATTATTATACATATTGTTATTATTCATATTATTATTATTCATATTATTATTATACATATTATTATTATACATATTATTATTATTATTATTATTATTATATAAATTATTTGTAATTTTTATTCACACAAAAAATATAAGATTTACTGTTATTCCTTATTGCAATAATTGTATAAATATGTCAACACATTCACCACTGCATATTGGAATGGACAGTGACGTCATTTGTTTACACAAACAGCCAAGCAATGGACCATTTCTCCTATGTTGAGCTCTATTTCAAGGTACTTTTCGTCATGAAAGCAATCAAAATCATATCTATTTCTGTAATTTATCTTCCATTCTATCAAATGAGACCAAAAAAACGAGAATACAACCATAAAAACCATTCGAAATTACCACTAAGGGGCGACTAATTGCTGAGAAGTGAACTCCATTATTTATGCTTAGATTTTTGGTGTACATTAAGAAGCATCTTTCCATCATACATTGCCCAAGTTTCAATAAGATAGTCCAACAAACAAATGAGATACAATTCCCGAGATCAAGAGCAAGAGCCCCTCACCAGTGTCAAAGAACCTGCCTTGAGGTTTGCTCGCTTGTGGAAATTTTGCTCGCGTATGGAAGTAAAAAATCGACCCATCGACAGCTCGTATTTGGAAAAACTCGCACGTGGACACGCTCGCAAGTAGAGGTTCCACTGTACTATGGAACTGACCCCAAAGGATTAAGATGCTCACATCAAACAACCTTCATTGCAGTTAAAAGATGGCTTTAGATCACACATCTTTAAAAAGATCTAGTTAACAATTTTTCCTATGCAAAATACACTCTTCACTGTCGACAACTTGGGAAATATTTAACAATGATTTGATGCTATTATTTACAGTACGTACTTTAAATTAATATTACACAAGTGAATGATTCCAAGCTCAAATCTTAAACAAGGAGACAAAGATAATTTATTACATCTGCTTCCCTGTTTACCTAACAGCAAATAAGTATCTGAGTGTTTGTCAATTGCTATGTTTAACATGCTAAGAGATAGTTAAATGATCAGCTTTGGGGATCTCAAGGCCTGACACAGTTACAGCCATATTAAACCTCAAATATTGCAGTATTAAAAACTAGGGTTTGAAACTTACCCAGATTTCCTGTGCCTTTTCTCAACCACTTTGTGCTCTTGTGTGCTCCAGGAACTGTCTCTTTCACTGCTGTGTTGATCTTCTTCGTAATATCTGTGTATACTACAAATGCAAAATGGAAAAAAATAAAAATTATTGTTAAGTCTGATAAACCCTAAGGGTTACAGTACATAATTAAAAGTATGAGACATAATATGCCCATATAAAGCAAAATGGATACCAATGCACACACTTAGGACACAATTATTGAAAACTTTATGGGGCTGGGACCATTATTACTTCAAATACCTAAAGAGTATAAGAGAAGACAGGATAAATATAGTGGCAGTGGTGGTGGCAGCAGCAGCAACAGCAGTTGTAGTATATAGCCTGTCTTCTCTCGTACTCATATATTTGAAGTGATCAAGGTCCCTTGCCATACGGCCCACAAAATTATTTGGTCTGGCCCTGCCAACGCAATGGCAGGTGGGACTCTAAATTCAATAAATCTAGGAGCTTTTTTCATAGCAACAAATTTATATTAACCCTTCCCCATATCCACTTTGAGGAGACATGCATTGAAATATGCATCTGTGTTCAGAACAACTTACTGCTGCAAGCAGTTCTTTTCAAAACTTACCACTGCAAAGAGTCGATTGCACTTCTGACTGACTGACGTAAACCTTGAAAAGCAGTTGCGAGCAGCAGCATCAATACTAGCTAACATCACATGCCTCACTAAAGAGCAATAGTTCCAGCCATCACATTAGGTGGAAATTAATTAATTGTTTGACCAAATATAGCGGACAAATTTTTAAGTAGATAATTTTGTATGGCCCACAAATGATGTTATAAATATCCAAATGGCCCTTGGCAGAAAAAAGGTTCAACACCCCTGCCCTAAGTGCATGTATTCAAGGCCATGTTCTTTTGGTTCTCAGTATTTACTGCCTCTTGTAACAAATTAATTTAATAGTAAAGTTTATTTCTTTGTAAAGGTTACAATGTGTAATTACAATTTTGATTTGCTAAGTACAAAGATAGCCACTATCACACCCAGGCATTTTGGGCAAACTAACCCTAATACGTACTTTTTTTCTTTTCAACAAGCTGGCCGTCTCCCACCGAAGCAGTGTGACCCAAAAAGAAAGAAAATCCCCAAAAAGAAAATAATTTCATCATCATTCAACACTTTCACCACACTCATACATAATCATTGTTTTTGCAGAGGTGCCCAGGACACCCATTTTATATACCCCTCTTAGTCATGCTATTTTGCGGATACTCAAACAACCTCAACAACCCCTCTTTAGCCCTCAGAATTAAACATATGGTAACTTCACACCATCTACTCTACACAATCCAAATTCTTCACATAATATTCACACTATACGCTGCTCTCTCACATGGCATTTCAACTGCCTCCAACCTTCTCCTTACTATAATGGTTAAACCCATGCCTTACACTATACTTTGGTATGTTTCATCCCCCCTTTTTTTCTTCTTTTTTTTTTCTTCCATAGCACAACTTTTTCCATCACTGATGCCTCAATGCACCACCAGCCTTTTCCCCAGTCTACTCTATGATCCACCTTCTCTTTCACAGACATGTCCACTCACAAATATCTGAATACATTCATTACCTTCATACTTCCTCCAATCTGGTATTCAATCTTTCATTGCCTACATGTGACATTACTCTCATCAGTTTGGTCTTTCCTAGGTTTGTTAAATATTCAATTTTGAATTATGTCTCCTAGGTAGTAGGTTGGTAAAGAGCAACCACCCAGTTCTACCATCCTGGCAAGCAAGTGTGAAACAGAAATTTTTAATTGTTTTACATGATGGTAGGATTGATAGCATGTTTTTTCTGATTCATAAATATACAGTATAACAGGTATAACTTGCTACTTCTACTTACACTTAGGTAACACTACACAATCATGGACACACAAACCCATCTGGGTTTTCTTCTATTTTCTTAATAGTTCTTGTTCTTCTTTAGTAACTGTAAACAACTTTAGTCAGTCATATATACAGTGTATTGTATACACAAGTGGGGAGAAATAAATGGGATTAAGTCAGGAGTATCTAAGAGAGTGTGGTAGCAATAATGTTGAAGGGTCAGTTATGGAAGAAGAGGGAATATAAACATGTAAATTCAAGGATTATGTGGATTAAGATAAGGGTTGGATGCAAAAAGTGGGTCATAGTAAGTGTGTCTGCAACTGGAGAAGAGAGGAGTGTAAAGGACAGAGAGAGATTTTGGGAGATATTAAGTGAATGTATAACAACCTTTGAACCAAGTGAGAGAGTAATTGTGGTAGGGGACCTAAATGCTAAAGTAGGAAAACATTTAGAGAGGGTGTGGTAGGTAAGTTTGGGGTGCAAGGTGTAAATGATTGAACTTTGTATAGAAAGGGGTTTGGTTACAGGTAATACATATTTTAAGAAAAAGAGGATAAATAAATATACAAGATATGATGTAGGGTGTAATGACAGTAGTTCGTTGGACTATGTATTGGCAGATAAAAGAATGTCGAGTAGACTTCAGGATGTACATGTTTATAGAGGGGCCACAGATATATCAGATCACTTTTTAGCTGTAGCTACAATGAGAGTAAAATGTAGATGGGATACAAGGAAAATAGAAGTAGAAAGTAAGAGAAAGGTGAAGGTTTATAAACTAAAAGAGGGGACAGTTAGGGTAAGATATAAACAGTTATTGGAGGATAGATGGGCTAGTGAGAGTATAGGCAATGGGGTCGAAGATGTATGGGGTAGGTTTAAAACTGTAGTGTTAGTGTGTTCAGCAGAAGTTTGTGGTTACAGGAAAGTGGGTGCAGGAGGGAAGAGGAGGGATTGGTGGAATGATGATGTAAAGAGAGTAATAAGGGAGAAAAAGTTAGCATATGAGAGGTTTTTACAAAGTAGAAGTGATGCAAGGAGGGACGAGTATATGGAGAGAAAAAGAGAGGTTAAGAGAGTGGTGAAGCAATGTAAGAAGAGAGCAAACGAGTGGGTGAGATGTTATCAACAAATTTTGTTGAAAATAAGAAAAAGTTTTGGAGTGAGATTAACAAGTTAAGGAAGCCTAGGGAACAAATGGATTTGTCAATTAAAAATAGGAGAGGAGAGTTATTAAATGGAGAGTTAGAGGTATCGGGAAGATGGACGAAATATTTTGAGGAATTGTTAAATGTTGATGAAGATAGGGAAGCTTTGATTTTGTGTATAGGACAAGGAGGAATAACATCTTGTAGGAGTGAGAAAGAGCCAGTTGTGAGTGTGGGGGAAGTTCGTGAGGCAGTGGAAAGAATGAAAGGGGGTAAGGCAGTTGGGATTGATGGGATAAAGACAGAAATGTTAAAAGCAGGTGGGGATATAGTTTTGGAGTGGTTGGTGCTATTATCTAATATATGTATGGAAGAGAGTAAGGTACCTCGGGATTGGCAGAGAGCATGCATATTCCTTTGTATAAAGGCAAAGAGGATAAAAAGAGTGCAAAAATTATAGGGGAAGAAGTATGTTAAGTTATAGGTAGAAGGTTGGTAGACAGCAACCACCCAGAGAGGTACTACTGTCCTGCCAAGTGAGTGAAAAATGAAAGCCTGTAATTGTTTTACATGATGGTAAGATTGCTGGTGTCCATTTTTCTGTCTCATGAACATGCAAGATTTCAGGTACGTCTTGCTACTTCTACTTACACTTAGGTCACACTACACATACATGTACAAGCATATATATACACACCCCTCTGGATTTTCTTCTATTTTCTTTCTAGTTCTTGTTCTTGTTTATTTCCTCTTAGCTCCATGGGGAAGCGGAACAGAATTCTTCCTCCGAAAGCCATGCGTGTTGTAAGAGGTGACTAAAATGCCAGGAGCAATGGGCTAGTAACCCCTTCTCCTGTATACATTACTAGAGTTAAAAGGAGAAAGCTTTTTCTTTTTGGGCCACCCTGCTTTGGTGGGATATGGCCAGTTTGTTGAAAGAAAAGAAGTCTGTTGAGTATACCTGATAAAGTATATGGTAGAGTTATTATTGAAAGAATTAAGAGTAAGATGGAGAGTAGGATAGCAGATGAACAAGGATTCTTGAGGAAAGGTAGGGGGTGTGTAGACCAAGTGTTTACAGTGAAACATATAGGTGAACAGTATTTAGATAAGGCTAAAGAGGTTTTTGTGGCATTTATGGATTTGGAAAGGGCATATGACAGGGTGGATTGGGGGCAATGTGGCAGATGTTGCAGGTGTATGGTATAGGAGGTAGGTTACTGAAAGGATAGTGAGGCTCAGGTTAGGGTGTGTAGGGAAGAGGGAGATTATTTCCCAGTAAAAGTAGCCCTTAGACAAGGATGTGTGATGTCACCGTGGTTGTTCAATATACGTATTTATAGATGGGGTTGTAAAAGAAGTGAATGCGAGGGTCTTGGCAAGAGGTGTGGAGTTAAAAGATAGAGAATCAAACACAAAGTGGGAGTTGTTACAGCCGATTTTTGCTGATGACACTGTGCTCTTGGGAGATTCTGAAGAGAAGTTGCAGAGGTTGGTGGATGAATTTGGTAGGGTATGTAAAAGAAGAAAATTAAAAGTGAATATAGGAAAGAGTAAGGTTATGAGGATAACAAAAAGATTAGGTGATGAAAGATTGGATATCAGATTGGAGGCAAAGAGTATGGAGGAGGTGAATGTATTCAGATATTTGGGAGTGGACATGTCAGCAGATGAGTCTATGAAAGATGAAGTAAATCACAGAAGTGATGAGCTGAAAAGGGTGAGTGGTGCACTTAGGAGTCTGTGGAGACAAAGAACTTTGTCCTTGGAGGCAAAGAGGGGAATGTATGAGAGTATAGTTTTACCAATGTTCTTATATGGGTGTGAAGTATGGGTGATGAATGTTGCAGCGAGGAGAAGACTGGAGGCAGAGCAGATGTCATGTCTGAGGGCAATGTGTGGTGCGAATATAATGCAGAGAATTCGTAGTTTGGAAATTAGGAGAGGGTGTGGGATTACCAAAACCATTATCCAGAGGGCTGAGGAGGGGTTGTTGAGGCAGTTCGGACATGTAGAGAGAATGAAACAAAACAGAATGACTTCGGGAGTGCATAAATCTGTAGTGGA